ATGATATAAACTTTTTTTTTTTTTTTTTTTTTTTTTTGAGCATGATATAAGCTTTATGAGCATGATATAAACTTATACCCAAATGATATCCATAATGGGATTTAATATATTGTTTTAAGAAACATAGAAAATAATGTAACACTAAACTAAAATACAACGATGAAAATCACCAATAAAAGCATCCTGTAAGTGATGACATTGTTGATAAGTTTTTCGCTTATACCAGGAACTTGCTGTTTTGGCCAGAGTCACAGGCTCACAGCAAGGTCATTAGCCTTTGGAGGAAGGCTACTTTTACTTCATTAGTTTTGCTGGTTGAGACTGAGATCTTGCTCGCACTGGCGGGGTGGAAAGTTTGTATGCAAAGTTCCACGATCCTTTTATTCAAAAAAGATTCCACGATCTTTCTGATTAATTTTTCTGGATCAAGATAACCTCATGCCTTTAACTCTTCTTCCTCTAGTTTTTTTATTTCTTTTCGACTCTGGCTCTAGCTCCAACATAGTCTCCATGTCCGGCTGATAAGAGGATTTGTCGGAGCCATGACTGTTTTCTTCTCAACAGATGAAAAATAGGAGCAATCCAAGGGTGAGCAGAATAATAAAAATAGGAAGCAGCCAAGAACCAGCAGAAATCATAGCACAATAAAGATTTGTTGTCAATCGCTCTCTTTAACTCAAGTCAAAATCAAGAGTTCAAGAAATCAAGAAAGACGCCGACTTAGAACAAAGCTACAGGTTAAAGAGGATTGAATGTAAAGAAGGTTACAGAGCAAAACTGTTGAAACGACTCAAACGATTAAAAACAATAAAGAAAGTGAGTCTTACTTGTACGTCTTTTTCTATGTTCCTGCATTAGCAATGAACTCCGTTGATTCTGTTTATGTGCACCGTTGCTTCTATGACTTCTTTTTCGTTATCGTGACACCGCCTATAAAAAAGAGGAAAAATAAAAATAAAAATAAAAATTGCACATAAGAGAAAAAAACTTTCAGCTCTTTCATGTGTATAGTAAGTGGAAATCCCGGAAAACCACAAAACACGAAGTAGTTTAGTTCCTTCCTTGAATCTAAGAAGCACAAACGTATTTCTAAATACTTGGAATACAATATTCAAGTGTTTCTCAAGAAACAAAAAATCAGAATAACACAGGGATTCCATGGAAAGTTAAGAGCCTAACGTTAAAAGTATTCTGTGTGCAAATATTAAACCAGAACAACACTGAAAGTCAAAAACAAAAACAAAGAACCCTTAGTAGAAGATCAAACACAAAAGGAGAAAGATAAGTGAGCTTAAAAATACATTGAGATATTTATGTAATATCAGCTCGTAGCTATACACTTAACTATACTATACAGACACTTAACAACATACTATTTAGTTTGCAAATGGATCAAGACACACCGTGTGGTTGGTATTTCACTTCGTAAAGGGCCGGGCGGTGAGTGAGGGACTGTCCATTTAGCAGCTTCATGAGGCCAACGACATCTACATCATTGGTTGGGAAAAAGTTGCAGTTAAATGGGGCCTTCAAATGTCTATAACTACGCAAAAAAAAAAAAGCAATCAAATTGAATATGATTTGAAAGTTGTAACAACTTACCATAGAGGTCTCTGAGTCCATAGTTGGAATTCTCATGAAAGTAGATCCTAAACCTGTCTGCGTCAGTAGGGAGGCACATGTGGTCAAGCTCGGAGAGGACATAGCTGTGCGTAAAGCAAACGGCCAAACTTAGATCAGCAACTCGATGAAACCTTGCATATCAGTGTCCTGTTGGAAAAGGAACCAGTGAGACAAAAAAAAATTCTTCATAATCCATGAAATGAAATTGGGAAAGAAACAATCATACCGAAGAATTGCTGGAGATATGAACCGGTTTCATGGCCATATATTGATTTTGTTGTATGGAGGTCGTAGATCGTCGATGATAGATTTGATGTAGGGTCTATATAAAAACAGAAAGAAAGGGAGGTGGAAAGCTTCGATGAAGGATTAACCAAGCACTGTGATCATAATGATATGGCTTCTCACTCTCGGAATCACTACAACTAAGTTCTTGCTTGTCATAAGGTCTAAGCTTCTCCTCGGGTGATTAACACTGCGACCAAGCTGTGAAAGATAACATTATTCAAAGTCACAAATATCACATGTAGACTTTTACCTCTGTAATCAAGGAAAATGGTAAGGCCTCACAGAGGGGCTTGGACGTGGAAAACATACATTTACCATATATATTCAAGCAGAACTTTACCATATAAAAATAGATAACTTGGTTAATCCCGTCTGCTGTTCCAGATCAGAACTTTCCAAGGATTCTGTACACAAATATAAGGTGGCGAAAAAGCAAAAAGATACATAATTTTAACCTTGAATCCACCAGATCGGTAAGGCTGTCCTGAAGAGGATAAGGGATTTTTGAAAGCCAAAGGACGCTGTGTTTGATTCATTGGAGAACGTCTGAAAGCAAAAGTTCCCATACGCAAGTTTTAAAGTAAAGAAGATAGAAAGTCACAGAAGTTAAGAAACTGCTCAAGGTTGACAAACAGCCTGATATTCTCGCATAGAAAGATAGTGACACTATAGAGTAAGGTTTTATCTAACCTTTCAATTACACGTGGTCCAAAATATTGTCCTGCATAGCTTGAAGGTTATGAGACACCGGTGGGTTGAATCGGAGAATCACTACAGGCAAATTACATTCGCAATCAGCAACTGACTTCAAAACTCGAAGCTTAGAGTTGTCCAAAATATCTTAGAATTCAGAGGATAAAAAAAAACCAAAGATACTCCTACCTTTCGTGTGATCCTAAATACATGAACCTAACAGGAGATTTCTCTAGGGCATAATCAATCCATATCAATAATCCTCTGAATAAATAGACTGTGAACGTAAAATTCGTGATTCAACGCTCAATCAATTTAATTTTGAAACTGTGTTACCTGGGTTTATGGGAGTCACAACGAAGGGATCATCACCAACCTCAGACTGAAACTCCAAATTAAAAAAAAAAATGGTATACACATCGATTGGTAACCCAATGCAATTAAAACAATTAGAGAAGATGGAGAAAACGGTATAAAAGAGATCAGAGGAGAGGAAGTCGAAAGGAGAGGGAGTGTCTAGAAACTCATCTGATTATGCCGACAAAACACAAACCACTATTTTGTATTTCGATTACGGTCAGAAACAAAACCACAGTTGAGAAAACCAAACCATGATGTGGAGCATCGACGGAATATTAGTGGTTGATTAAATAATCCTAGATGGCACTCTAATATCGCTCAAATAAGCGCTTTTAGTAGTAAGAGATTATTCTAGCATGAAAACAACCTACAAAGCCTAAAATTGTCATTTCTCCCTAATCTTATGTTACAGAAAAACATGTGTTGCATGGAAGCGTACGTCGTTGGCACTTCTCGCTCCCGAAGCGGAGTTGGGATCGAAAGTGCTCGGAATCGTTACTCCAAAATTGAAGTGTTTGGAAAGCTTAATAGAAGCATATGATTCCAAGGTGGAAGCGTCGGTGGTGCAGTCGGAAGCAAAATAATTCCAAAATTGAAGTGTTTTATATGAATTTTCTTAATAATTCTATACAAGCTGATTTAATACATTTAACCAAAATAAATAGATAAAAAATTAAGATTCAAATTTTTAATATATTACATATATATTATTAAATATAATTAAAAATAAATAAATTTATTTTTTCTTAATTTTGTGCTTAATTAAATTTATATTAAATATTAGTCAAAATAATAAAATAGATAATATTAATAAATTCAATTTTAAATATAATTTAATTCTTAAAAAATTTCTCACTACACATAGTGCAGTAAAATACCTAGTATTTTCTTAACACTTATTATATTTTTGATGAGATTTGGTAATATTATGTCTAAAACAACATTTAGATTCTATGTAATATATATTATATACACAAAATAATTTGATAAAATTGATATAAATTTTTATTTTTAAAAAAATAATAATAACAAATGTTTATACACTAAAATGAAATATTTTTTATTTTAGAAAAAAATATTTTAAAATATAAATTTTAAATAAAGAAACTTTTAAAAATTAATATCTCAATAAATTAATAAAACTTCAAAGTACCAATATTATTAATTTATAGAGGTTTTACTGTAGCTCTGTTTTTTATAGTAATCTACATGTACTTTTCTTTTTGTTCACTTGTTTGTTTTGTTTGTATTATTCAACTATTTAACTGATGTGCGTCAACTGATTAATTGATGTGCTCTGTTTTCTTTTTCATTCTAAACTCCATATATATGTCATATAACTTAGATAGATATTGTTATATTTTTCTTTTTAATTCTACTTATTTATTTTTATTTTCGAGTTATCATATATGCATGAACTGTAACTAAATATTCACTTTTAATAGTATTTATATTAATATAATTTTATTATAGTGTTTAATCATATATATATATATGCTTCGAACACATATCCACTTTGAAATATTTTAAAAACTCGCTTCTACGCTTCCTAACGCTTCCATGTACCCGCTTCCAATTTCATGTACCTGCTTTTGATTCCATGTAACATATAGTAAAACACAACTTACACTATTTTAGGTAAATAGTTAATTACCAACTTCTTTGCAAATTTTAAGAAAGTTGACTCTTTTATAATCGATAAATCAGTTATTTTTAATATTTATGTTTGGCGAATTTACTTTTACCACATTCTTTCTATAAATTATAGAAATTATTACATCAATGACTTTGCAACATATTAATTTTTTGTTAAATAGTTTTCATTAATAAAGATTTTCTTTACTACAAGAATAAAAAAAGAGCAATTTAGCTGAAAAACCAAAGAAGATAGCATAATTAGCAAAATACCAAAGAGGGAAAGCTATGTGCTTACGTGTTCAATCATGCAATGGTAAAAGACATAAACACACTGCCCGAATTACTTCTTCACTTCCCGGGTTTAGCTTTAGGTCACAGCTTCTGACAAAAGATCAAAAAATGATTTGGTAAGATAAGAAGACGATTTGGTGTACATTGTTTCTCTCTGACACAAGATTCTTGGTAGATTTAGTCAGACACAGATTTCGTTTAGATTTGGAAAGATCTTAAAATGATTTGGGTTAGTTCTGCTAAACTTATCTTTTTCTTTTCCTTTAATCGTCTCTCTGCTTTTTTTTTCCTACTAAATGTAAACAAAAATGAAGATCATAAAATCTGAAGAAGATCATGAGTTAATCTGGTTATTTCTCCATGAGTTCACGAAGCATTCTAATTCTTGAACTTCTTTGTCTTTCATCTTTTTACATTCTGGAGATTCCTCGGGTTGCACATCTAGTTTAGCCGGCTAACAAACATGTGTTACACATCTATTACATTTATTAACCAGATACTACAACTCTGTGGATGTAAACATTATAAAAATAATAAGTTAAGAAATTATTTTGCCGGCTAAACTGACCATATTTCCTGTCTAATATGTTGTCAAACTAGGTAAATGTTTTTATTCAAATTAAAAAATAGTTTTTCGAACACCTATGCGAACACAAAAATATGGCTCTGTAAATGAAAAAATAGTTTAACCGGCTAACAAACATGTGTTGCACATCTATTAGATTTATTAACTAGTTACTAATACTTTGTTGATATATCCGGCTAACAAACATGTGTTACACATCTATTAGATTTATTAACCAGATACTAAAACTTTGTGGATGTAAACATTAAAAAAAAATAAGTTAAGAAATTATGTTTCAGACTAACTTGACCCTAAACCTTAACACAAATCCCTTACATTACAAGTGGACCTAAACCCTTAGTACTGATCAAGTATCCCCGACTAATAAATATAAGTTGGTTTCAGTCACTTAGCTGGCTACGACTGCAAATTTCGTGGATAAACACTAGATTAGCCGGATACAGTTATAATTAACGTCTTCTATAAACTTTTACTCATCTAACAAATGGTTGACTATAAACCTAACGAATAAACCCTAAACCCCATTCTAAACCCTAAACCCTAAAATCCTGAACCCTAAACCCTAACCTTCAATTTATTAAACCCAAACCCTACCATATCTCTTAACCCTAAACCCTTAACACAAATCTCTTACATTACAAGTGGTCCTAAACCATTAGTACTGATCCAGTATCCCCGACAAATAAATATAGGTTGGCTTCAGTCACTTGCTCGGCTACGATTGCAAATTTCGTGGATAAACACTAGATTAGCTGTATATGATTATAATTAACGATTATAATCATATTGTATCTATGCCGAAACGTTGACACATAAGATTTGGAATCCAAACACAAAAACGTCTAATCCAAATCTTTTGTGTCGACCATTTGTTAGATGAGTAAAAGCTTAGATTTGGAATCTAAACACAAAAACGTCTAATCCACACAAAAACGATGAACTATGAGTTGATATACAAAACTACTTTTATTTGAAATTTGTTAGTTTCTTTGTTCACTTATCCGAAACCACCGTCAGAAAAGATATGATAATATCTTGCCTGTTTCTCACTCTTCCAATTTCAGCTTCATAGTCTGCCCTTCGTTTTTTTGGTCAGGTGAGAGGGTAATAAGATAAGGGCAACAAAGTAAAATTGTAATAGTGAATAGTAGACAGTTTCTTTCTCTTTGGTACTTTGCAAATATAGGTGAAGTGTTTTGGTAGGAGCGCAAATTTCTCTAAAAAAAAACCCACAACAAATCCCAAATGGACCCGATTAACTAAAGAGAAATTGCAGCCTATATACACAATAACTTGCATATTTGCACAAATAGAACTTTGGCTTTTCAAATGATGTGTATTTTTTAATGTTTATTTTATCCCTATGTCTCTTACATTGCAACCTAAGATATAACACATTTACAAATCCTTATATTTTATAATCACGCGTGAGGAGAGAGAGACTACAGTAACCATTAATACACTTTTCTTTTTGAAATAAACTATTTCATCTCTTTCTATCACTTTGGTTTCTCCGTCGAGACAATCTCTCAATCTCTTTGGTTTCATGTCGTAACGATCTCTAATATTTCCCAATCTTTTTTATACATTTTATCCTTGTTCATCTCTGTCATTCACTTAAAATAGAGCCACCACGAACATCTTTACCTCAAGATACCTTTTCTCCATCGTAAATCGTTGAGACTATCATGAGTCACCGAATCATCTCCTTCATCTTTCTCTACTGACATCGTCATATATACTCAGATTCAAGCGTCGCCGTCGTACTAATCCTTGCCATCTCTATCTTCTTACGGAAGAGATCGAGCAACAATGGTAATTTCTTCTGTTTTCCAACACAAGTCCTCCATCTTTGGATATTCTCGAGTTGGTCCCAATATTTCCAAGGGTAAAAATAGCTTCCCGAATCTGTCCAGACTTTCAGATTCTTACATCCAAACCCTTTAAGAATTTCCTGAATGGTCCTCAGAGTCTTAGATGTTTTCAGTGTTACAATTCAAGTTACAAATTGAGATAACTAATTTATATTACCAGCTAAATATAGCCAAAAGGTCAAGTAAAATCTTAAACAGCTATTTCACAAATTACAACATTAGTTAATATATATTACCGGCTAGCTATAACAATGTCAAAATTATTAGTATATATTACCGGCTAACTGTAACAATGCCGAGATAATTAGTATATATTATCGGCTAACAATAACAAAAACAATTCAAGTACAATGTTAACCGGCTAAACATCTATTTTAACCATTTTTATTGTGATTTGTTAATAATTAATATTATGTTTAGCCGAATATGTAGATCTAACCATATGTTTTCTGATTTATTAGAGAGTTTATTTTTTGTTTATCCGATTTGATACAAACAACAACCATTAGCTGATCAAAATAGCCGGTAAATATAAATAAAATACCAGCTAAAATGTAAAGTATACGGATAAATTAGAAAATAACAATGCTAATTAAATCAAGAAAAAAATACACATATATGCAAAATAACATGGACTAGCTTTTCCAAAACAACAAAAATGGATCCCTTGCTGTGAACTTGCATCAATTGAATTGAGAAGGTGATGAATATAATTGTTAGGTGGAAGAAAGAGAAATGATCTGAAATGTAAAAAGTAGAAAATAGAGTGTTGAATCTTTTAAACCAATGTACATAGTCCAACAGGAATCTTGGTTTGGCCGGCGATCCTTGTCACTCTCGCCGTCTCTTGGTTTCTTTGTCTAGTAAATTCATATGGTGGTTCGAATGTCAATTCTAACATACCGGGTTTGAGAATTTGTCGGGTTTTGTTTTGGACCACTCAGCTCTTATCTTCTTAGGAACATCAACTTCTGAGTTATGTGGCTTCATTGGATACGTTATGTCCTTTAGTTCTTGTAATTATCTTCGTATGTGTTTAACTGTGGATTGTAGATATGCTGTAGTTACTGGAGCAAACAAGGGAATTGGCTTCGATATTTGCAGACAGTTAGCAAGCAATGGGATTAGAGTTGTTTTGACATCTAGAGATGAGAAAAGAGGTTTTGATGCTGTTGAGACACTGAGGCAAGAGACTGGAGTTTCTGATCAAAGCCTTGTCTTTCATCAGCTTGATGTCACTGATTCTGCTAGTATCGAATCTCTTGCCCAGTTTGTGAAAGCACAATTTGGAAAACTCGATATTCTGGTATTGTTAATGAATGAATGAAAGTTTTACACTGGTCATAGACTAATATAAAAGTTAGAGCCTCACTTATCGCCTATTGGTTTTAACTTTGAAGTTCATGACAAACCTGAATCTAACAATTATCCATTTAATCTGCTCCTATTAGACTTGTGACTAACACTCGCCGTATTGTTTAATCTTGAACAATGAAGAATATATAATTAGCCGGTTAGGTTTGTCTAGTGTAATGTTGATTGATCTTTTGATTGATTTACAGATCAATAATGCAGGGGTGTCTGGTGTGATCATTGATATTGATGCTATACGCGCTGGAAAAGAGAAAGTAAGTATATTTTTATATTCAGGTTGCAAATGACATGGTAAAATGATATCGGTACATCTTTGACACGTCTAATGAAACCTTTTTGTTCATTCCACATGGAAGGTAGGTTTCAATTGGGAAGAAAATATCCCAGAGAATAACTATGAGCTAGCTAAAGAATGCTTAGATATAAATTACTATGGACCCAAGAGAATGTGCGAGGCGCTTATTCCCCTTTTGCAGTTATCTGATTCTCCTAGAATCATCGATGTATCATCCTTCATGGGTCAACTGAAGGTACCTACAAAAAAAATTCAAGAAAGATTGAGATATGGACAGACTATCTTAAAGTTACAGTTAATTTAATGTTTTACTAGAATCTACTAAACGAATGGGCCAAAGGGATACTGAGCGACGCAGAGAATCTAACAGAGGAAAGAATTGACGAAGTAATTGATAAACTTCTCAACGAATTCAATTTAAGTCCACAAAATAACTATTGTAAAGGGATTTGGTTACAAGTGATGGTTCTACATGTTCATATTTTGAACAAATACTTTGCAAGTATATAATTATATGCATTTTTGGTTATACATTTCACAAAGAAAGCTTTTCTTTTCCTCAGATTATTTTAGGACTCATGTTCTTCAGGGACTGCATCAGAAGTTTCTTCTTCTGTAGGGTTGGCTTCATCTTCCTTAGGTTTGGTTTTGTCTTCCTCAGCTATGCGTCTGTTGTTAGCAGCGGCTTGGAGGACATGATTGTAATTACCTTTCTCCAGGAAAAGCTGACTGAAATGGACCTTACAGTAAAGGATACCATTGAGAGCAGCATATGAAGAGTGGGTTAATGGACAACCACCGTGTGCACATCTAAAGCAAGTCTTGTGATAAGATTCTCCTTCCATTGTCATCTTCTCTAGAGGATAAACAGTTTTCTTACAAGATGCACATTTGTCTTGTGTTCCACTAAAGAAGGAAGATAGCTTGCTTGGAGCCCTCGTCTTGATTCACAACAATAAAACAGATTTTTTTTTTTTTTTTAAAAGTTGATGAACAAGAAAAAGAGAGGAATGTTGGATCGTTTACGTGCATACCACGTCATTCGATTTCTCGGTCTTTCCTGCTGATAGAAACTAGCCAAGATTGTTAGCCTTTTTTAAAAAAGAATGTTGAATTTATTCAGACCAAAAAAAACTCATTTGTAAATGAAAGTAATTTCAGAGCCTATAATTTTTGAAACAAAAAGATATATGATTACCTATGAGCTATCTAGTAGAGAACCAAAGACTCATAGCATCATAATACGTGTGAGTATTCAGTTCCCCTGAAGGAGGAGATACATTGTCAAATCAACAGAGAAAGAAGATATTAACCTGTCTGAAAATTCTTGCTAAAGTTTCCAGATTCTTTGAAGAGCTGTTCAAAATGTGTCTTGCAATACAGAACTCCATCCATGGATGAGTAGTTGCTGATCTGCAAAAGATAAGAAACATTCTCTTTTGTTTTTGTTTTTCTACATAAGAACAATGATGCAAGAATTAGAAGTTAGATAGATACCACAAGAGTTCCATTGCAATGGCTGCACCTGAAGCATGACTTGTGGTAAGGCATTCCTTCAAGTGTCATCAAATCCATAACGTATACAGTCTTGTCACACGCCTTGCATTTGTCTGTTGTCCCAGTAAACGCCATTGTTCTCAGGTCACAAAAAGGAATCAATGTGTTTTGCTTACTGCTTTTATTCAAGTTCTAGCATTGAGATGTTCGGTTTTGATGGTTGAGATTCGAATGAGGAGAACCATTTAAATATTTTTATCATATCTGCATTCTATAATCTAATTCCGGATAATTCATTTTCATGAGTAAATTAAAGGATACCTGGTTTGGTGGTGCAAAGCCTATAAGTAGGTAGATTGCCGTTTTTGAGATGTTATTATATGATATTTTCTAAAACACAAGGTGCTTCTGTGAAATTGTATAATACATCTGCTATTCTTAATCTTGTTATCCATTGTTAGTATTCAAGATTATTTTTTTGTTTAGTTGGTTTTAATGTTAACTCATTTGATATAAGATTCATCTGGATATCTCTTGTTATTTGATGAATGAATGAATGAATGAATAAGATATGTCACATTTTCTTTCCTAAAAATAATCTTATATGAAACATATGTAGCAGAGAAAGAAGCATATATATGAAATGGATCTCATCTATTGTCTTTGACTTATAGCTGACCACATTTATTGAGACATTAAATGGATCTCACTTGTTGTCTTCAAAGTCATGACCCAACAGTATCTTCTCCTTCTTTGACTCTTTGTGATCCCTAATACTAGGCGCACGACATGTCGACCTAAAATAGCTGAAAATATCCACAATTTTATCCAAAATCTGATTCGAATACATGAAAAATACCAAATTTATATCTGATTATCTGAATTTTATTTTTGATAATCTAAAAGTTTATTTGAAACCCAAAACCATACCTAATATATATGCATAATATTAAAAATATACTAAAACTCCCATATATACCTAATATATACTAGAAATTTTGGATATTTTAGGTATTCTTTCGGGTTCGGATCGGATCTAAAACCCACGGCTCCTCCACAACAAAACCCAATAAGATAAAATGTTCGGTTTGGTTTCTACTCGAACCGGGAATTTTTGAGTCGGTTTGGGATTGGGTCATCAGGTCCGGGTAAAATTTCCATTCTTAATATGATGGAGCGGTTATTGTGATTGAGTGAATCATATGAGTTATGATTGATACTCTTTCTTTGATAGATTTGAGTAAAAAACTCAGCACATAAAACTTGGACAAAAATAACTCGCAAAGTACAGAAGTGAAAAGTATGTATAAATGATTCTCTTTTTTTTTGCAAAAATGTATAAATGATTCTCTACAAGTCCATGTCGTATCTTTTACCAAAAAATAAGTCCTTGTCGTATCTTAATTACTTCCACTTCTGCTCCTTTCTTAATCCGCTTTGAATGCTCTCTTATTTCCTGTTTCTAGCATTTCGAAAACCAGCCTGAGAAGCCTAGCCTCAAGGTCTTTACTTTTGCCTTGGCTGTTTTCAAAAACCCTAATGAGGGTAAATCATAATCACGTTCACACCTTCTGTATCGTATTACATAAACCCATTTCACAAAGAGTGTTTCCCATTGCGATCAATCCAAATCTCTAAGTTCTAAGATATTCAATCATGATTTTTTGTTCTTAAACGACCTGTTGTTGCTGTCACAAACATTAAATACAGTATTCCTAAATGTTGTGCAATGTGCACATTATGCGTGTAATAAATGGCCAGGGCCGGCTCGAAGCTCGCCGATCGTGTTGTTGCACTCTATTCCACACACAATTGTATTTATTTAATTTTTCACAAATTATCTCTTTGATCTTATCTTCACTTAGAGTTTTGTTTGTCCTTCTATATGCTGAGTCTAATACTTAATACTATATGTTGTCTCCTCTATGTGTTTCTTGTTCTTAAGCTTCTGAACTTAAAAAAAGGTTTGTCCGTTTTGCTAGCAAGGTGGTCAAAATGGGAAGAACGCCTTGCTGTGACAAGGAAGGTTTGAAGAAAGGTCCATGGACTCCTAAAGAAGATGATGTGAGATTATGGGCTGTAGTCAACATATGTTAAGCCCAAATCTGATATGTTACTTTTGGGCTGATGTGATAATGGCATGACTCCAAGTCGGTGACGTATTCGATTCTTATTACGTGAAAAGGAAACATGCGTATATGCTTAGATATATATAAATGGAAGACGTCGCGACCTTAAGGATCATCCGAGAGATCCAGAGAAACCCTAGACACAAGGACAGAGAAAGAGCAAGAGAGAGATTAGGGTTAGAAGAAACTAGAGGCAAGAGACATTGTTCGAGTCATGTCGCTTCGGGATAAAGTTTCTTTGATCTTTCTTATTCTTTGTTGTGTAGAGCGCTTAGAGCGTTTGTGTAAACCCCTTTGATTGATAGTGGATGTTGTGGGAGACGGTTCCCACCCGAGACGTACCGCGCTAGAGGCCGGGAACTCGGTGATCAAATTCTATGTGTTATTTAGTTAATCAATCAAACGATCGAGAATTCCTAACAGATGAGATTCTCGTTTAATATATCAAGCAAAACAGCCATGGAAGCTGGAGAACACTTTTAAAGAACGCTGGTGAAAATTATATATTCATTTCAAACTTTGGTTTGATTCTTGATATTCTTCATTTTTATTAGGTTTACTTCGCTGCGGAAAGTGTTGTAGACTAGGGCTGGAACTTTTATCCGGGAATTCAATCCGAGATCCGCTCCAAAATTAAGATATCCTGGGTGTCCGGATTTGATCCGAGATCCGCTCTGAAATTAAGATATCTTGGGGTGTCTGGATTCATATCCGGATAGTAAAATCTCACATCCGTACAAACGAATCCGGATCCGGATATATTAATATTTTTAGGTCCAGATATCCGGATTCGGATCCGTATATTTAGAAATATATATAATTTTTTTATTTTATCATTAATTATATCTGTTATATTAATAATTTTACATAAAATAAGTTTTATAAGATTCTACTTTTATATTAATAATATTATATGTCATATATATATATATATTCATAAATTATGCTTAAATATTTAGTTTAGCATTTTTTAGAATTTTTATTTTATTTTTTATTTTTTTAATTATTTTTACGGATACGAATCCAAATCGAGATATCCGCGGTTATCACAATATCTAGACGGATATCCAAAGTCTGGATATTCGGAAGACACGAATCTGAATCTGGATATTAAAATCACGGATCTGACGAAACTGGATCCGGATTCGGATATTTCAAATTTCTGGGATATCCGGATTCGTCTCACCCCTATTGTAGACAGATGGACTAACTATCTAAGACCAGACATAAATGGAGGTCGTTTCACTCCTGAGGAGGAGAAACTTGTTGTCGAACTTCACGCCATTCTCGGCAACAGGTTGCCTCTATATTGTCTATATTCGGCTCTGAAACTATGTGTTTTTTTTGTTTGAATGTTTTGTATTTTTTTGTCAGGTGGGCTGCTATAGCAGCTCAGCTTCCAGGGAGAACAGACAACGAGATCAAGAACTTATGGAACACTCACTTAAAGAAACGTCTGTTAAGTATGGGTCTTGATCCCAAAACCCATGAGTCATTACCTTCATGTGGGTTAGCCAAACAAACTCCAGCTTCACCAACAACTCGCCACACAGCTCAATGGGAAAGTGCTAGGGTTGAAACTGAGGCAATGCTTTCTAGAGAGTCAATGCTTCTTAGTCCTTGTGGTGGAGGAAAAACTGATTGTGATCACTTCTTACACATTCGGCACGCTGAGATTCGTGAATCTTTCAGAAACCTTACTACTACTAGTCAAAGCAGGACAACATCATCCTCATCTGCAGCACTTCCAAAGAACTCAACAAATTCTTTTGTTGGCAAAGAGATTATTATGGGGACTCATCATGGCTTTGAATCCCCATGTTCTAACAATCTTGAAGATGTTTCATCAGACTCTTCTCTTCAACCTCTTCTAGATTTCCCAATAAGTTATGATGATATGAGCTTCTTAGAAGAGAACATCAGTTTTGGAACATGAAAAACTGACCCTGTTGATTCTTATTAACAGTTAGCAATCCTCTCTTTATGTTTTGAAGATGCTACTGAGAGAAAGAACAATGAACACCATTTTACACTCTCATGTTTCTTACACACAATAAACCAAGATTACAGAAGCCATTGAAGAGAATAACATGAGAGTTTGTATTGCAGTTTACAGTTCAAACTCTTTTTAAAATGATTTGCAAATAAGAGATCAGAAACATCCCCAGGTTGTCTTTGGGACAATACCAGTGGCTCTGTACTTAGCAGCCGTTTCTTCAGCATTAAGAATGTCTTCTCCAAATTTAGCTTCTACCATTGCTCTCCTCTCTTCTGCTTCCTTGTGAATAGCCGCAACCTTGTTGTTCATCTTCTCTGCATGCTCTGCTTTCTTATTCAGAAGTTGCTCCTACATTCAAAAACCACTTCATTTTCACATTCACACAGTTTCAAATGTCTCTCTCCTTTTATTAGGTTTTATTATTATACCTCAAATTTCTTTTGTTGGGATTCAACAACTGCTTTCTTGTTGTTTTCCCAAGCAAGAACATCAGAGATATTCTTCTCAGCTCTGTTCCATGCCCCAATTGTTTAATAGGTCAGATAAAGAAACCTAAAAAGAATTTTCAAAACAAGTACTGTAAAGAGTACATGTCTTACTTATTCTCTGCCTTGCTCTTTTCTCTATCTTCCCATGCTTTGGCAAAAGATAATTTCTTCTCCTTTGACAAGTCAGCTAGCTTAACATCTAATTTCAAACAATGATATAGTTCAGTAACTTCTTCCATAGAACATTACAACACAATCTGGATAGTTTGGTTTAAGCTCACACCTCTATCTTGTGAACCAGATGACGATTTCTTTGGTGCAGGCTCTACAGTTTCTGTACAAAAAGAACAATATTAACAGAGAAATTCACAAGCCTAACACACAGAAAATAACAAACAGACACATACATGCACAACTAAAAAAACATCAAACATAGCTAAGTCTATTGGATCACATAATAGCTACCTAAGGGATGCTTTTCCAAAATAGAGTTAATCTTTTTTTCTTTGTCGAGCCAGAATAGAGATAATTTAACATGGTACGATAACCTCGTCCTAAACGGTTTACAAGATTAAAGACTCACGCAACCTCCTAGTCTTTCGAAAGAAAACATCAAACCAAAAAAAACAAAAAAAACATCAAAGCTCCTAATTCATCAAACCAGATGATATTGATCATCACAGAACGCAATCCATAGAGAGAGGGAGGGAGAACGTACTCTCGACAATGGCAAGGGCTTCGGAGTCATCAGAATCTTGTTGCACATGTGGGTATTGAATTTTCTCCTCGTTAACATCTTTTGCAACCTCCGCTGGAACCGTTGCCGGACCAGGAGATTCTGTTTCTAACGTTATCTTCTGTTCCTCCACCATGGTCTCTCTCAGCGGAAGAAACTACAAACGGTAACAGAGGAAAAAATAAACAAATGAAAAGAAAATGATTGACTAATTAGAGATATTTGATATTTCTAAGCAACAGAAAGAGGTTTATACTTTACCGCGTATTTCTATTTTAAATTCTGTTATTTTCTTATCCGTTAATCTTTTGACTCAAAATAGATTACGGCTCTAAAGCCAATATTCCGTTATCGATCACGTAACTTCTGGATACAGGTGAATAACAATGCCACGTAACAAATTTTCATTTTTAAGCAATTTTTAATGGCAAACTGTTAATTAATTTTTTTATTTAAATTATAATCTCTCACTTCAAAATAATCCATGTTTAAAAAATTTTGTTTCAAGAAAAATATATTTACATCTTCGATCTATTTTTTCTTAAGTAATAATGATAAATTGTAAACTTCGAAGAAATTAATTGTGTTTTTGAATTTTAACTATTTATGAGTAATGAGAAATAGGTTTTTTTTTTTTATTATGAGAAATAGTTAAAAGAAAATAACATATTTATTAATAAAAATTTAAGATATTTTTGAAAACTCTATTTTTTTTTTCTTTTGAAACTGAGTGAATACTGGATACAGATATAAAGGAGGGTGTCTTTCTGAATTATCGCTATTGGCAAGTGGAGGCTATCTACCGCATATATGAGGGTGTCTTGCAAATCTGTTGCACCTCTTCACCACGGAAAACGTCACCGCCGGTTACACAACACACCGAAAAGAGCCTAGACTTAATAAAGGAGCACGTCAGATCACAATAAGATTGTCTCGTGTCATTACTGAAGGCGCGGTTCAGATCACAATAAGAGTGAATCCTGTCATCGAAGACATGTTGGCTCGAGACATTGAGAAAAGACGACCATCCGGAAACGCCGAGTTCCTCACTGCCTTTCGTCATTGGAGTTAAGATGCGTTGATAAAGAACCAGGCTTTTGTTGCCTGTTGGTATATAACCTGCGGTGCATCTCCCGTGGTGAAGAGGTACAACATGGCATTTCTTCATAATCATAAGAGACGTAGGTATAACGTCGTTATAGTTAATTAATGAATGGTGGCTGGTTTATTTAGTATAATTTTATATATGTATATATATATATATATATATGTTAAGGCAAAAACTTTAATAATTAAAAGTTACTACATAACCAGGTAAAAAATAGTGGTCGACTTTTACAAACGATATATATATATATGTCTGTATTTGGAGACAGCTTATATTTAGGAATATATAAATTCTCTTTCTAAACTAATGTTAGTTTGAATATTAAATACAACTTCTAATTTTCATTATGATTTTTAAATAGTTAAATTACAGAATATGTCAGGACTTCAGAAAACTAATTCCAACAGTTTTATTTTAAATAATGGTTTAAGGCCATTTAATAGTGAATCTATTTCTATATATGGTGGAAGAGAACAAGAGCAAATATTGGGAAAAATCTTGAAAAAATCCTCAACTTTTTGAATTGGACCATTATAATCCTCAATTTTCGAATGACCTGAAAAAACACAACTTTTTTGTTGACTTTTTAAAAAATCATTAACTTTTCGTTGACTAGATCAATTTAGACCTGACGTTAATTACACTAACTGAACGTGTTAACTTCTTTAATTTGTTTTGTTAACGAAAAACAACGTCGTTTCTCTTACACTAATAAAATCTCTAAAATCATTTTCTCCCAAATCAATTTGGGGATTCTCTCGATGATCAATCCTACTGACATAGAAGTTACAGAGTTTGCACCGTCGAGTTTTCCTTTTTGACACTTTTTGTTCTTTTTATTCCCAATCTCCTCTTGATACGATATGATTGAGACTCAATCTTAGTTTGATCAGGAAGAAACAAAGAGATCGAGTGGGATTAGAAGATTTTTGGTGGTGGGTCGCGATTTAGGGTTCATCGTCGAGAGAATCCCCAAATATATTTGGGAGAAAAATGGTTTTAGGGGTTTTTATTAGTATAAGAGAAACGATGTCGTTTTGGTTAACGAAGCAAATTAACAGAGTTAATTCATTCAGTCAGTGTAATTAACGTCGGGTCTAAATTGATCCAGTCAACGAAAAGTTAGTGATTTCTTAGAAAGTCAACAAAAAAAGTTGTGATTTTTCAGATCATTTCCAAAGTTGGGGATTATAATGGTCCAATTCTGAAAATTGGGGATTTTTTCAACATTTTTCCGAGCAAATATTACCAATGTTTTATAACGAGCAAGGTGATAATATTATTGTGGATCTGATAATTTTGTCTGATGTTAAAAAAATTAACTTTTTTTTTCTTATTTCAGAGTACCCTTAAAAATAAATGATACAAGTAAATTATTTTTGCTTTAATTGCTAATTTAGTTTTTTTAATGTTTTAATAGTTTAATTTTATCTCAATCACAATGTTTTGACATTGTTATTGATATGGAAAGAGCTGAAAAAATAGGCAAACAAAGTTATGAACTGGAATTTTCTAAAGGTTTGTTAAGTCTGGTTTTTGTTTATTATAGATAATTCTATCAATTAAAAAGTTGTATTATTTAACACATATTTTTTTTTAGATTCAAGAAAACGAAAGTTTGGTGAATATATAGACAAACGCAAAAGTATTAATGAATCATATGTGATTTATTTATGAGATGTTTTTTAAAAAAAACTGTATCTAATGAATATAGTGTTTGAACTTATTCAAAAATATATTCAAGTTTGGTGAATATATAGACAAACGCAAAAGTATTAATGAATCATATGTGATTTATTTATGAGATGTTTTTAAAAAAAAAAACTGTATCTAATGAATATAGTGTTTGAACTTATTCAAAAATATATTCAAATGTAGGAAACAACGATGATGGAATCAATTTATGCACGTCACAACTCTCAATTTATTTTTGGATTTATTGGACGGCAAAATATATATTTTCAATAATTTTGAAATTTGGAAGGTTCCTGAACTTTATATAATTTCTGAATATACTTTTACTATACGGTTAAATGCAAATTCAAGCATAACTCTAGTATTAAAAGAGAGAGTAGTAATAAATGGCGAGAAGTTTAGATTTCAAGATTATGATCAATTTATGGAAATGACAAGAATTCATCTAATGATGGTATGAAAACTCACTGCTACAACAATTATTAAGTGTATGAAATGTATTTTCAAAAGTTAGAAATATTTGTAGATATTATTGGTGTAATTGTTGAAGAAAAGTTGAGCACATAAGCTACAGCAACCGAACAAAAAAGAATAAACCTAGACATGCAATTAGAAGGGTTAGTAAAACATTATTCATAGTTAATAATTAGGGAGTATTAAAATAGTATATAAAAATATCTTTCTGCAGAAAATTTAAAAGACTTAGAAAATATAATTCTTTTACTGATATGGTTTTACAATGCATTAGCCTTTAATATTTATATATTACGAAATCGTATAACATTTATCATAATTAATAATTTAGGCAGTATTGAAATAGTATAAAATTATTTTTTTCACCCAATAATTTAAATATATTTTAGAAATATAATTATTCTACTGATATGATTGTATGAAAATTATTGGTTTTAAGATAATGCATTAGCCTTCACTTATAGTCTTTACAATATAAATTTCAGATTTAAATCAATCAAAAAATTCTTTGATTTAATGAATTAATACTAATCATAGCCTGATGTTAATGTTTCCATGATTAAATTATAGATGGATTGCTTTTGTTGTAAGTGATGTAATGTATCACATCTGTTTAAATGATATTATTAATAGGCATAAATAAATTAAATTAGCTCTGACATCTGTTTTCTGAATTTATTTTAATAATCACATTGTTCTAAAAGTACTTAAATAGATAAATATATTTATAATAGGGTAAGTAAAGTACGTATTACTATATGAGACCATATAGTTGATATGTACCAGAAACAAATGAAAAACAAGGAAGCGTATGGTGTAACTATGATAATAACAAGTGTCAATTCCAAAATTTATTCAGGTTAAAATTAACAAATAATTAAGTTTATATCAAAAATGGTTAAGACTATAAATTACTCAATAACATTAGATATTGTAGGATATTTGTATTTGAATACAATGTCAGCTTCCAAAACATATCAAGAGGATCCATTAAACACTATTCAATCTTACAAAAAAAAAGTAACTTGTTCACTACCGAAGAAAAAAATATTGATGTTAATTCAAGAAATGGAAGAAATTACATATCTTTTAAACATTGTGATAAAATACTTCAAAAAAGGATGGGAAATTAATTTGTAAAAAAATGCTCAAAGCCTGATATTGTTGGGATATTACGGTAACTTATATATTATTGATTTGAGTTTTGATAACTAACAAATTATTACTATCACTCTCATCTGTAAAAATAGGTATAAGCTGGAAATTATTGTTGAAGATGATTCAGATTCAGAATTATTAACCACATTCAATAAAGAGATGACCAGAATAGTGGTAAATCAGCAACAAATTTCTAAGTTTCATATAAGTGGTGTACTGAATAAATCTATATGCAGGAAGAAATATTCAATGATTCAAGTGATGATGCAATTATTTCATATCTTGCTAACAAAATTATGGGAAAAGTTTTTAAATTTAATGTAAAAGATACATTATTTAATTATAATTCAAGCTCGGCAGGATTAACAATTACTGAATTCATAGGCAATCCGATTAATATAGATGAGGTACAATCCATTTAAATTAGATTATTATTTTAAAAATAAAATTTTAAATAAAAAAGATTGTTGCTTACTTTTTAATTTATTAGTCTACTATTGACGATGCGGAAGAAAAAGAAGAAATCCAGACTTGCAAAGATAATAAGACAAGGAAAACATGGTACCAAAGACACCAAAAGCTTTACAACAAAGCAAAGAAATTTTTAAAAACTCAGTGAGGAAAGCAAGAGAAGAAATAAAACGACCACAAAAAAAAAATGCTAGGTTTACCAAGAATTTTTACTCCTCTATACACATGAC